TCAGCTTCAACCGGAGCCTGACCTTCGGTAAGGCTCAGTGAGATGAGAGCCGGGCACTGTTCAAGGGACTTCTTGCATGAAGACGGGTGGATCCAAGCCAAGTGAGACCCAGAAGAACCCCACCCCCACCCAAGAGTGCAAGGAGGAGCCGGGGGAGGGAACAGAAAGATAGGACCGACCCCAGGAGGGGCAACAGCTTGAACACATTTTTCCCAGTTGAGGGGGCTAGGGAATGACTTCTCTGCTGAACTTTGACCTCCAAGTCACATATCTTCTTTGAACTGTCAGGCCGCCTCCAGCCTCGTCACTCTCCATCTAAGCTGGGCCAAAAGTGAAACTCCAGCCCTGCCCTGGAGCAGTTCCCATGAGCTCTGTGGCTGAAGTGTGTGTGTGTGTGTGTGTGTGTGTGTGTGTGTGTGTGTGTGTGTGTGTGTGCACGTGCGTGTACGTGCGTGCCATATCTCCTAGCCAAGACCCACTGCACATCCCTGGCCCAGGCTCCTTGGCTATCTCTAACAGCCTAAGTTCCCTGGTGGCTTTTCTCAAGCCTGGAAAGGGAGAATCAAGTCACCATTCAGGACTGGGCAGGAATCCTGCTCCCCACCACACACATGGAAACCTGAGGGACTGAGGGAGCTTCCCTCACAGAACTCTGTGGGCCGCAGTTTGCCTGAAGAATGGGACCCTTGGCAGGAGATTCACTGTGAGGATGAAAATACTCTAGAATGAAAGCTCATAGCTTGACGTGTTAGCTTCCTTTCGCTCACTTCAGACAATGGCCAGAGGAAAGGCACGCACTCCTGTCTCCCCTGTACCACCAGCACCTCCTCTCCCAGAAACTCAGGCACTGAATGAAGAGGCCAGGCATTCTACCCCAGTTTTACTTGTAAGGAAGCCAGGGCTTATAAAATTAGGGGAGCCTGTCCAAGAGCAAGTGACTTGGCTCCAAAGTGGCAGAGCCAGGATCTTAACGTAGGTTATGTGACCAAGGCTCAGCATGCCTGGCTGCAATGAGCACAGAGCAAAGACTAAGAATTGGATGGACACTCCAGTGTCCCAGCCTCCTACCCTCTGATCCACCAGCAAGCACAGATCCCCCAACACCTCTGAGCTTGTCTCCTTGCAAGAAGTTGGAAGCCCCATGGTTCTACACCAGCTCCTGGTGTATGTTGTCACTGCATCTGACCACAGCCCATCATCCAGAAGCGCTCGATAAATGTCTGTGGAGTAACTGAGTTCCCAACTCTTTCTAGAACATTCACAAAGCAATAATGAAAAAGCTGTGGGAAAGTAAACATGGCAGGTGGAGGTAGAGTAATGTGAAAGATTCACTAGGTTACCAGTCTGACGTTTTTTTTCTTTGTTGTTTTCTTAATCTATTATCCTCCCTTCCTTTTCTATGCATGGACACTCACGGTTTGAATGAGAACCGTCCCGCAGAGGCCTGTGGGTTTGAACACTTGGTCCCCAGCTGGTGGTGCTGTTTGGGAAGGTTATGGAACCTTTAAGAGGTGAGACCTTGCTGGAGGAAAACATCACTGAGGGAGAGCTTTGAGAGTTTATATCAGGGGTTCTCAACCTGTGGGTAAGGACAACCTTTGGAGGGGGTCACAAATCAAATATCCTGCACATCAGATATTTACATTGTGATTCGTAACAGTAGCAATTATGAATCACAGTTATGATGTAGCAATGACATAATATTATGGTTGGGGGGGGGGGTCACCACAACATGAGGAACTATATTAAAGGGTCACAGCATTAGGAAAGTTGAGAACCACTGGTTTATAGCCTTGCCCTACTTCCTACGCTCTTTGCTCCTTCCTGTATGTGGATGAGATGTAAACAGCCTGCTTCCTGCTTCTGTTAGCAAGAAGTAGGAGCTGCTATTATCCCAATTATCACATCTGGAAACAGAGACCAAGATATTAAGTAGCTTCTCCGAAGTTACTTATTGGTGGAGCTGGGCTGGCAATATGATTAAGTGTGTAAAGAAGCTTGCTGCCAAACTTGAAGATTTGAGTTCAATTCCCAGGACTCACACGGTAGAAAGCAAGAGGTGACTCCCACAAGTTGTTCTCTAATCTCCACACATTTCCTGTAATTACACACACACACACACACACACACACACACACACACACACACACACACACACTACATATGATAATTTAAAAGGAAAGTGGTGGGGCCCTGATTTACATGGGTAGTCAAACTTCAGAAGAAAAGGTGAAAACCTTTTTCAACCGCAAATAGCTCACAGATGACAAGCTAAGATGTGTGTGCAGTTGAAGTCAGACGGGAAACAGACGTGAGAAACACCCCAGGGCTCTCTCTAATGCGTCAGTTTGGACTATTTCCATTGTCATTTCCCTATTGCTATTGGTGTTTCCTCTCTGTCCCTTGGGATGTCATGAGCTATTTTTACAGGTCTATACAAGGTCAGGAATGGTGGTGCATACCTTTGATCCCAGTACTTGGGAAGCAGATGCAGGCAAATGTCTGTGAGTTTAGGCTAGTGTGGTAGTCTGAATGAAAATGGTCCCCATAGGCTCATAGGGAGTGGCATGATTGGGAGGTGCCTTGTTGGAGGAAGTGTGTCACTGGGGGTGGGCTTTGAGGTTTCAAGTGCTCAAGCCAGGCCTAGTGTCACTTTCTCTTCCCATTGCCTGCAGATCAGGATGTAGAACTCTCAGCTGCTTCTCCAGCACCATGTCTGCCTGTAGGCTGCCATGCTTCCCATCATGATGATAATGGGCTAATCTGAACTGTAAGCCAGCCCAGTTAAATGTTTGTCTTTATAAGAGTTGCCATGGCAGCCGGGCAGTGGTGGTGCATGCCTTTAATTCCAGCACTCAGGAGGCAGAGGCAGGTAGATCTCTGTGAGTTCAAGGCCAGCCTGAGCTATAGAGTGAGTTCCAGGACAGGCTCCAAAGCTACACAGAGAAACCCTGTCTCAAAAAAAAAAAAAAAAAAAAAAAAAAAAAAAGTTATCATGGCACAGGAGACCACTTCCTAAATATAACACCAGTAGCACAGACACTAGACACTGAGAGAAATAATAAATGGGACCTCCTGAAACTGAGAAGCTTCTGTAAGGCAAAGGATACATTAAATAAGACAAAACAACAGCCTACAGAATGGGAAAAGATCTTCACCAACCCCACATTTGATAGAGGACTGATCTCCAAAATACATACAGAACTCAAGAAACTAGACATCAAAATACTGAACAATCCAATTAAATGGGCTACAGAACTAAACAGAATTCTCAACAGAAGAATCTCAAATGGCCAAAAGACAAAGAATTGCTCAACATCCTTAGTCATCAGGAAAATGCAAATCAAAACGACTCTGAGATACCGTCTTACACCTGTCAGAATGGCTAAGATCAAAAACACTGATGACAGCTTTTGTTGGAGAGGATGTGGAGCAAGGGGAATACTCCTGCACTGTTGGTGATAGTGCAAACTTGTACAGCTACTTTGGAAATCAGTATGGCGGTTTTTCAGAAAATTGGGAATCAATCTACCTCAAGACCCAGTGATACCACTCTTAGGCATATACCCAAGGAATGCTCAACCATACCACAAGGACAGTTGCTCAACTATGTTCATAGCAGCATTGTTCATAATAGCCAGAACCTCGAAACAACCTAGATGCCCCTCAACTGAAGAATAAGTAAAGAAAATGTGACATATATACACAATGGAGTACTACTCAGCAGTAAAAACAGTGACATCATAAAACTTGCAAGCAAATGAATGGAACTAGAAAATATCTTGAGTGAAGTAACCCAGACTCAGAAGGACAAACATGGTATGTACTCATTCATAAGTGGATATTAGAAGTAAAACATAGGACAACCAGACTACAGCCCACAGCTCCAGAGAAGCTAGCTAACAAGGAGAACCCTAAGAGGGATGCATGGATCACCCTGGGAAGGGGAAATAGATGAGATCTCCATGAGTAAACTGGGGGTGAGGGGGCAATAAATGGTAGGGGTGGGGGATGAGAACATAAAGGAACAGGATGTTGAGCTGGAACAGGGACAGAGTAGGAGAGCAGTGAAAGAGATACCATGATAGAGGAGGACATCATGGGGATAGAGAGAAACCAGGTGCTAGGGAAGTTCCCTGGAATCCATAAATATGACCTCAGCTTAGACTACTAACAATAGTGTAGAGGGTGCCTGAACTGGCCTACCCTGATAATCAGATTGGTGAATACCTTAACTGTCATCAGAGAACCTTCATCCAGTAACTGATGGAAGCAGATGCAGAGATCCACAGCCAAGCACCAGGCCAAGCTCCAGAAGTCCAACTGAAGAGAGAGAAGAGGGATTCTATGAGCAAGGAGCATCAAGATCATGATGGGGAAATCTACAGAGACAACTGAACCAAGCAAGTAGGAACTCATGAACTTTAGACCAATAGCTGTGGAACCTCCATGGGACTGGACTAGGTCCTCTGCATAAGCAAGACAGTTGCGTAGCTTGATCTGCTTAAGGGGCCCCTGACAGTAGGATCAGGATCCATCCCTGGTATGTGAGCTGGCTTTTTGGAGTCCACTACCTATGGTGGGACACCTTGCACAGCCTTGATGTAGGGGGAGAGGTTTGGACCTGCCTCAACTGAATGTACCAGGCCCTGCTGACACACCATGAGAGGCCTTACCTTGTCAGAGGAAGGAATGGGGCGGGGGAAGGCTGGGGAGGGGTGGGAAGAGAGGAGAGAGGGGGATCTGTGGTTGGTATATAAAATGAATAAAAAAAATTTCTTAATAAAAAAATTTTAAAAAAAGACTTGCCATGGTCATGGTGTCTCGTCACAGCAATAGAAACCCTAACTAAGACAGCTAGCCTGGTCTACACACCAAGTTCTGGGCTAGCCAAAGCTACATGAACTATGGCATCGATAAAGGAGGCAAAAGTTGCTGTTATATGAAATTGAAACATCATCATACCTACCTGCTTCCACTTGATATGAGATGCTGGCGAGAAACCTCTTTTCTGGTCCTTTGGTCCTTTGGGCTGATCCCCATAGTCCTGTATGATCTCTATATTCAGCCTCAGCTCATTTTCACCACTTGCTCCTGACTAAGCAAATAACTAATTCAAGAGCTGGTCTCAATGCCAAGCTGATAAGCGACCCCAACTGGAGGGCTGTGCAGCCTCCTTCTCAGCAGATCCCCTTCGTGCATCTAGAGCCTTTCCTCTGCATCCAGTCAGTGAGTGTGACTGTAGTTATCCTGGAGGCAGAAGGGAGAGGAGGGATTACTAGAGCCTTGGAGGGCAGGCAAGGGAGAGAGGCTGGTCAGTGGGAACAGGGGCTGTTGGACAGGGGGAAGAGCTACCTGCTGGTGGCTACAGCACTGTGGGTGATGTTGGGGGACAACAGTTTCCTGGACATCAAAATAGTCAAAAGGATCTTGGTGTTCCCAGTGAAAAGAAATGATGTATGCCTAAGGTGATGAACATGCCAATTATCTTGAGTTGATCACTGCATATCCAATACATGTATTGAAATGTCATACTAATGTACAATATATACAATTACTGTGTGTCAATTAAAATGCATTAATGACAATTGTCTTGATATTACCATTGATGTAATAAAAAATTAAAAAAAGATATTCACACACTCGAATATCTTTGATCTGATTCCCTGATATCAGTTAATTGCTATCACAAACAAATGAATACTTAATTCCTACTATGGGCCATGCATAGGATGTGTGGTGTATTTAATATTCCAACCAAACAGACCGGGGAAAGCATTGTCTCAATACTTTACTGATGAACAAAGCTCTGTTTAGTGAGATGATGTTGGAATCAAATGGCCAGTAGGTGACTGAACCAGGATCAGAGCCCAGGTGTCTGTGCCCAGTAGTCTCTTCTACAACTCATCTTCTGGGCTGATTTGGAGGGGAGGGGTCAAGATAATTCTGAGAGAGTAGACATAGGCTAGACATTTTAGCTTTCTATTGATGCATCATGAATTAACACATACTTAGCTATTTATAGGAAATGTATTGCCTCATGATTCTGTGACTTAGAAATCCAGGCAAGCACACCTGACTCCTCTACCCAAATCCCCACAAGGCCAAAGTCAAGATGACAGCTGCCTGGGGTCTTTTAGAAGACCCAGGAAAGATTGTTTCCAAGATCAACAAGGTTGTTGGCAAAAGCCCATCTACCCCTCCCACTTCTGATGGAGGTCCCTGGTTCTTGCTGATAGTGAGCTCCTCGAGCCCACACATATCCCTCCTCTCATGGTCCCCTCCATTTCAAGCCAGCAAGAGTGTTTAGTGTCCCTAAGTTTTCCTCCAGCAGTCTCTGACGTCTCCCTCTGCTGGCAGCTGGAGGGGGCCTGCTGCTTTCAGGGGCTCCTGTGATTGTGTGGGACCACCCAGATGATCCAACTACTGTCCCCGTCTTACTTCAAGTGTAACATACGATATAACTGTAAGTGGAGAAGCCTCCACACTCAGATCTCTGAGCATAGGCTTGGCGTGGTGGGTATACAGCCGCTGTTACTCCCTTCTCCTTAGGCCCTCACACAACGCTCTTTGGAACACAAGACAGAGAAGTCAATTCCATTTGGAAGCAAAGCCTGCTCTTCCAAGAGAAGATGGCAGTCAATCCAGGAGAAGGACTGCTCTGTACTCACATCAGCTCTCAGAGCGTGTTTCACTATAAGCACAAGTTGTAACTACTGGGGCAAGATGTCCTCCCCAGTGAGTGTGTTTCAGGAATCCCTCCCCTCTGCTGTATAGAAGGAAGCTGTGTGGTAGAGAGGATGCTGGGAACCCCTCCAAGCAGGTGGCACTGACATGGAAGGAACATCCCCCTAGAAGTCTAGAACCTCCACAAAGCACCATGGGGACACTGGATGCCCAGATGGAATGGGCATAGACAAAGAGGGTGTGTGGTGGGGGAGAAAAGGAAGAAATAAATGCTGACTAGAGAATTCAGCTGTGTATCTGCAGAGACGTTCAAATTCACTCTGTGCCTTCTCAGGGGCTCCCGAACTATTCTCAGAAGAAATGAGCTGTTCTGCTCAGTTTCCAATGACACTGACCTGGTGGAGAGTCCCTGGGTGGGTTAGGATGAGATGGAGTCTGGGGAGTTGAATGCACACATTCGGTTAAAAATCAAAAAGCTTATTTGGATGACAAGAGTTGGCCTGGTGTGGTATGTGAAGCTTGTGTATGAGGGAGGTGAGTTAGGAGCACACTGATTGGAGCTGGCGTGGCTGGGCATGGCTGAGCTGGCCTGATTTGACGCAGGCTGGCTGGAACACACACAGATGAGTTAGAATGTTTCAAGGGTGGGTTGGTTTGGGACAGTGTTAGATTGAATGGAGAACAGGCCAGGTTGGAGATTCCTTAGCTTCTAATTTCAGAGACAGAATTCACTCTGGGTAGTTCAAGCAGAAATAATGTAGTAACAGTATTGAATGGCTTACAGAAATATTTGGAAAGCTGAAGAAACAGACTCTGGGCTGCATCTTCGGGAGCAGCTCCCGAAGCTGGGCTGCAGAAGTGGACCACCAAGGCAGCCGCTCCTGGTGCAAGCATCAGGAAGCCATCTGCCAAGCCTGGAAGCCGCTGGCCCAGCTCTGCCTCTAGAAACAGGCTCCTCGGCATGTCCACACCAGCCAGATGCACATCTCACTGTGAAAGCCCCAACAGCTTTCACCTCCAGGAAGGGAAATGTGGCAAGGAAATTCTTTGGATAGATACCACAAAATTGTGGAGATGCTCCTAATTGCTAAAGCTGGGTGGCGAGGACACAGGAGCATGCATTTACATCTACAAATGTCTTTTGAATGGATACCTCCCTCCTGTGGCTCCACTCACTTAGTTCACATCTAAATTCCAGCCTGACATGAATATGTGATGTTTGGTGAAACTCACCTCACATTCATAACCCTAATGACAGAGCCGTGTGGGAAACACGGCTTTGGGGCTGTTCGGCGTGTGTGGAATCCAAAGCTCATCAGAAGGAGGAAGGTGTGAGTTGGACTGGGCAGGAGCAGTGGCAGGATGGTTCCAGATATGCATGGTTGGCTGGCTGAGCTAGGTTGGGTGTGGCAGCAGTGGGTTAGAGGTGTTCCATGTGGGAGCCACCGTGAGGCCGACACTTGGACCGTGGTGCCAAGCCCTTTGAGTCAAATAGAGCATCTTATTCAGCTGGAGCTAGGGAAGCAAGACTCAGAGGATGACCATACTGAAGATAGTAATACTCCTCCACCTGAATCTCTCCTCCCTAGTCCCAAACCCATGAGCCCTTCATTCAAGCCAGACCTGTCCCTAGACCTAGGACAGTTCCAATGTGAGGCTCACTCACCTCTGCCTCCCCCAAAATGCAATCTATGTTAACAAGAGGCTTGGTAAATAAGTTCCTGGCAGGGAAACTTATAGGATGTATTGTCTCAGAGCAAAAAAACAAACCCAGTCAGGATATCAGAGCCAGATGCCCCTCTTTCCCCACCTCTGTGGGAGGGATTGTGGATTTGATGGAATTCAGGACCAGTTCCGGAGTCCCACAGGTGCCATGTGCACTGAGCCAAGGAAAACGGGTGCTGGCAAGCATGCATGTTTATCCACACCCAAAATACTCCCTATACTGCCTGTAAGCTCAGGGCTTTCCAATCAGCCAGGGATCTCCAGCTGATGCATGTGTTTCAGAAGAGTACTGTATTCTGAATGCCTACTCTAACTACAAAAGTTCATTGAATTGTATAAGTAGTTGGGCCTGGATGATGCGAGTATGTCATAGTTTTTACTTGCAACATTTCTTAATAATAAAGTGGTTTGGGGTTTGTTTTTCATTTTTTGTTTTGCTTTGTTTTTTAATATATATATATATATATATATATATATATATTTTAAGAAAAGTAAGGCAGGAGTCCCTGTATAACATGTTCAGAGAAACTGGGTGCCTTGCTCATCAACACCAGCAGATCTAGGATTAGCATTTTGTTATTGTTGCTTACATAAACATACATGTCCTTGACTGAATCTAATCTACAAGATACATAATTTTGCCCATTTTCTTTGTGGTGGTCACCTAAGCATGCCGAACATGACAGTGGGCACTTCAGATATTTACTCAAATAAATTTACTAAATTAATGAACAATAACATCCATACCTCAGAAACCTATAGCCATTCAATGTGGTCACACACAAGGATGTACATAAGCACACGTGCTCACTAGCACAACACACACACACACACACACACACACACACACACAAAGTCCCAAGATCTCTGCTCCCTGGAGTAGCCTGGACCAGATTGTAGGTTCATGCTTTTCCTTACTGCCTGACTCAGAATCTAGGGAAGAGGCCTCTGGACTCAAATCTCTGAGCATGGCAGCCACAGGCCAGGTGTGGTGGGCCCACAATTGTCACTGCCCCACCCCACCCCCATCTGCCTTCATCTATAAGACATTCTTTGGGAATAGAATAGAAAGGCCAATTCCAGTTGGAAACAGTTTCAAGAGAGGATGACAATTCAAGAGGACTGCCCTTTACTCCGAACATAGCCCGGAGATGGAAGAGTCATTATACCCATCTTGTTCCTAAGGAAACTTAGGCTCCTAAGGAAGTCACTGAATTGCCCAAGGTCACATGACTAGTCAACACAAAGCCTGGATCAGAAAGGATCCAGTCTGGATGATTCCAAGGTCCATGGGCATCAATGACTCACAGTCCCTGGAGGCCAAGGGACATCATCTCTTCTCCATACTTGGACTTTCTAAAGGACAGGGTTACATCCTTTCTTCCCTCCATCCTGCCTCTGTTCTCAGGCGGGGTCAGCACACGGTGGGGGTAGGAGGACATTGCTAGCTGTCTCCAACTGATATTGATGGATGGAGTGACTATTGTAAATGCTATGGTGTTGTATAATCAGTAGGAAAATGTGACTGTGTCCCCAGAGAAGCCAGTGGCATTTTGGAGCAAATCCTATTCTTGGTTTTCTGGGCCTGCTCAGTTGAAATGTCTAACTGACTGGGATGGGCTAAGGAGCTATGGTATACAGGACCTAGGACCTAGGCAGGTCACTCACTGTCCTAGCCTCTATCTAGAGCCTGGACATAGACAGAGGTGTGTGTGTGTGTGTGTGTGTGTGTGTGTGTGAAAGAGAGAGAGAGAGACAGAGACAGAGACAGAGACAGAGATACAGAGATACAGAGCACACTGGGGCTCGGGACTGATCCTGTGTGAGAATGGGGTAGC